AATGTATGCAGCTTTAGTTCCATAAAAAGTTCATTTCAGCAATGTCGGAACACCTTTTACATAAAGGACACAAATATTCATATGTTGAGCTTCTGAGACACATTTTTTTAATTGGCTTTTGAGGTTAACGCCTTCATTTCACAGATTAAAGTAGAAGGAGAAAAGAAACACAGGAGAGAGAGAGTGAGAGACAGAGAGGGAAGGATGACATGTGATATAGATTTCAAAGAATTTGAGCCCACAGCTGTTTGTCAGAACAACAACTGAAACAGATGGGGGCTAAAGGTCGCAGCCAGCCATGACTGCGTTATTGGCACGTGTGATTAACCACGATATTTAACGCACACTATACAGTATGTGTATGTGGACAGACTCTGGGGCTGTTTTTCATTATAGTTCCAATGAGAGGAAATTTTAATGATGTTTTAGATAAGACTGCACTTCCTTTTTGTGGCAGCACTCTGTGTTTTTCCTTTTCCTGTTTCAACATCTCCATGCCACTGTGCACGAAGTCAGCTCCATAATGAAATGCTGTTCCCAGTTCGGTGTTAGAGAACTTGACTGGCCTGCACACAGCCCTGGCCTCGACCCCATCCAACACCTTAGGGACGAACTGGAACACCGACTATGAGCAAGACCTGATCACCCAACATCAGTGCTGGACCTCAGTGACGCTCTTATGTCTGAATCCCTGCAGCCAGATCCAACACCTGGTGGAAGCACTGAAACCAGAAGAGTGGAGGCCGATATCACAGCACATTAACCAGGTGTTCAACCATCACATATGGCTGGGATATCCAGGTGTCCACACACTTTTGGCCATGTAGTGTATGAAGCAGCTGTACAGTACGTAGCTTTTGCTGAACAACAGCCACTGTGGCTACTACAACTAACAATTACGGGATAAAGGTAAATGCTAAAGTGCAGTGCAGCAGTAGCACAAATACAGAAGAGCCATGAGGTCAGCAAACTGAAGACTCCTGCAACATGCTAACAGTAGCTAACATGGGCTACTCACACATCAAGTAGGGCTGTGGCGACAAAACACCTGGGTAAATCGAAATGGAAAAACAAGAGTTTGATTGCATGTAAATCTAACTTTTAACTCGTACTGCAGGAAGGACGCCTCCTTGTGTGTGGAGTGCTGCCGGCTAAAGTAAAATACTGTTCAGGTTGACTGAGCTGACTCTCGTCAAGCTTCAACTTGTTTTGTAGTGTCTCTGCTTAAGATGTCTGACTGTGTCACAATGACCTTCATTTGGAAACAGGTATCTGTTAACAGCTTTACCTTAAAAGCTTTGATTCTCTTTATATATTAATAATTATATCCATAATGAGGAATTGCTCCAGTGCTCCTTCATTAACGGAGATGTAACTGCAAAGTCTGCACAGGCTCAATCCACCTTTATAGCATTAATCAGAAACAGAGATAACACATTGATATGAAGCTGGGAGTTCTTACTTTAAGAACAAACCCCCGGGGACAGGAAAACAATCACAGAGACAATAGGAATGTAAAAACATACAATGCTACAAATAGTCTGCAGAACAAATGTCTGGAGCCACAACCTCACACACATTTCCCTTTGTATCCAGAGAGAGAGAAAGTAAAAATAAAAGTGGATTCTTAACTCGCTGCCAAGAGAGCAAGTGAAAGGGAGGAAAAAAAGGGAGGAAAACAAAGACGGGGAGAGAGAGAGGGAGGGAGCCAAAAAAATAAAAGATTGTGATCTAAAAATCAAGAGTCACAATGTAGGAGCGGGATAAAGAAGTGAAAGAAGAGATGTAAAAGACAGAAACAGAGAAAGACACTACAAAAGTGGGAGAAAGAGGAGAGGAAGGAAGGGGGGGTATAAAGCTGGACTCTTATCTCATGTATCTGCCAGAATGAGAGAATGGAAGTTAAGAAAAAGGGAAAATTTATAAGAAATGTAATGAGAACATTACAGTGACAAGTACGAGAATAAAGGGGGGGTGAGAGAATGAAACAGAAAGAGAGAGGAAGGACGAGGGGCACAGAGAAAAAGTGCCCCCTCCCCTCCTTTCCTTGCCAGCTGTTAAATTCCTCCATTGTCTTTTTTTCTCCCTCTGCTGCCTCTCTCTGCCGGGACAGTACACAGTGAGGAACAAACCACCCTCTGTCTCTCTCTGTCTCTG